CACAGGACAGAGCGGAGTTTAGGGCTGTTGTACATAGGGTCGCTATGAGTCGCAGGCGACTCGACGGCACATAACAACAACAACAACTTAATTTCACTCATTGGACAGCTATCTTTGAAACAGGCCTCTGGAAAATCCAAGTGCAAGGATGATAAACAAGGGATTATTTATAATAGGGACAAGTTAAAACCTTGAATTTTCACACAGTGGGTAAGTAATTATCTACTATCTTTAAATATTTTGCTGTGATTTATAATGTTTTCAACATCTAAGGTAGTTTCAATATTTAAACATTGTGTATCCAAAATAATTTAGCATTACCTCTTCAACAAAGAGTTGGAGAAATGCTTTCTAAAAATATTGTTAAGTAAGATAGCAGGGTTTTAAATATTGTGGTGAACATCTATGTTCTTTTACACTGAAGTGCTAACAGTGATTATTTCTGGGCAGTAGGGATATGGTTGGTATTTTCCTCCTTTTGTTCTACCTCTCTGCATTTCCCCTAATAAGCATTTATTGGTTTTGCAGTAGGAGAAAAAGAATAAAAATTTAATAGAATAACAGCTCAGTTTAATAGGAAACCTCCGAGTTCACACATTTAAAAGAATAGGTTGTATTTGCCTGTTGCAGGGTTGCTACAGGAAGAGGAAAAAACAACCTTGTCCTAAAAGAGACTGTCTTCTAGCTGGAGAGCTTAGATATTGACCCAGAGACAAGATGGTTATATAAACAAAGACTATGCGTATTGTACTTTCAAAGGTGACTGGAGAGAAAAGCGTTAACATTTTACCCATACATTTTATTTACTTTTCAAAATAGCATTTGTAATCTGGGCCAGGCTTCTGCAGCACAGTTTGTTCAGCACCAGCTTGCCCTAGAACCCCCAGGCCTGTTGGGAAATTTTTGTATCAGAATACCTTTAATGAGTTATCTAGCTAACAGTTTTCTCAGCACACTTGGAAAAAGCAATATTGTTATAATTTTGTGCCATTGTATCCTCCTACTAATAGTGACTTTGTTGTTGGGTGCTATTGAGTGGTCTATGACTCACAGCAACTCTGTAACAGATCTGAACCTTGCCCTATCCTGCCTTAGCCTTGTGATCTCAGAGATGGTCAAGCTTATTGTTGCAGTTACTGTGTAAATCCATCTAGGTGATTGTTTTCTTCTCTTTCCTGGACCTTCTAGTTTTCCCAGCATGACCTCTTTTTCCAGGGTTTTGCTTCTCTGACAAAATGCCCAAAGTATGTGAGGCAAAGTGTTACATACTATCCTTGCCTCTGAGGAGCATCCTGTTTGCACTTCCTCCAAAATGGATAATTTTGTTCTTATGGCATTCTATAATATATATAATGCTTTTCTCTAATACCACAATTTCAAAGGTATAAATTCTTCAGTGTTTGAGTCTTCTTCAGTCTTTTTTGGATCAGGCACACCTTAGTCTTTAAATTTACATCCTTGCTCTTTAACACTTTAAAGAGTTCAGTGACAACAGATTTTTCCCAATGTAACACATTATTTAATTTCTTGACTGCAGCTTCCATGGGTGTGATTGTGGATCCAAATAAAATGTCCCTTTCCAGGGAATAGCCTCTTGTAACCACATGCCCCAAATATGTGAGACAAAGCTTCGCTAGCCCATAAGAAGCACTCTGTATGAATTTTCTCTAAAGACATAACTCTTTACTCTTTTTGCAGTCTATGGGACAGTCAGTAATTTTCTCCAACACCGTGACTCAAAGGCATCAATTAAGACAGAATAAAACTTCCGCATATGGTTTCCCAGGATATAGTCTGTATGAGATCAGAAAGCCATCAAGTCTTTTCTCCTGATGAGTCTGAATTGCCAACTTTTCAGTTAGCCACTGAGTGCTTAACTCTTGTACTCCAGGGCTCCTTTTTGTTTTAGGGGCTGTTAAG